AGCCGACCGATGCACCGACTCCCGCGCCGACTGCTGCTCCAACTGACGCCCCAACTGCTGCTCCCACCATTGCTCCCACGCCGGCACCGACTCCAGCGCCTACGCCCGCGCCTACGCCCGCGCCTACGCCCGCGCCTACGCCAGCACCAACTCCAGCGCCTACGCCGACTGGGACGCCGACTTCAAAGTGGGTGCCTGTCATCACGGGCTACAAGGAAGTCGCTGCGAACGACAAGGTAGTCTGCATGGTCAAAAAAGGCAACAAAGGCCAGCTCGACTGCGCGACATCGCAAACGTTGCCGCTTCAACCAACGTCTCGCGGGTCGGGCAAGACCGCTCTTGCTGTCGGCGGGGACTGGATCGTGCAATACAACAGCACCAAGGACTTTTACCTCCAGTCGATCGACGCTCCGTTGCAAGAACTCAGTGAGAAAGCGGATCTGAGCCCCGTTTCCCAACTCTCGACCGACGGCACAAACATTTGCGCAACGAGCTCCAAAAGCATCAACTGCGGCCCCCTCCGGCTCCAGAGCGGTAGTCAACGCGACTGGATTTACTCGAGCAGCAACATCCAGTCCACGGCCATGGCGGCCAACAGCACGGCGATGTATGGGCTCAGCAAAAGCAACATCTTGCACGTCGCCAAAGTCGACGACATCATGAGTGGCAAGGACCACGTCTATTGGAACCCAGTGGCACGTGCGCCTGTTTTCACGAGCATTGCGTACGACGGCAAGCGCGTGTGCGGCATCAAAAAGGCGGAAACGGTGATTGCCTGCACGACCAACGACCTTGCGACCCCATTGTCGCCGACGTGGTCGCAGCTGCCTGAGAGCGACTGGACGAGCCTCGCCCTCAGCAACAACCAGATCTACGCCGTCAACGCGGCGTACGCTGTCAAGAGAATCGCAGCTCCGACCCAGTAAGTTGACTTTTGATACACAATGAATGCAAACATGCTTTGTTGCCAATTTTCAGAGTGGTGTAATGAGCTCGAGCTATTCGAGGTAGCCGCACACGCAAGCGGCGTACCGGTGGAGGAGACGCACAAACAGCGGTAGTCCTGAATCCTTGTTTGATAAAGACACAGTTAGAGGCACCTAGTTACTCTGTAGGATGCACATGGTGTATGGGTGTGATATTACCTCGTGCCAGACGCAGACAAGCACCAATGCCATAAGATCACGCCAAAATTACATAGTGAATATCAGGCGCTGCGCGACCAATGATGGCAAGCACTGCGAGCGCAGGTCACCGAGGTGAGCACTGGCTTAATGAAACGCGACGGTACAGCTGTACAGGCGAGCGCTCAAGAAGGTCAAGTCGTGTCGCGCATGTGAAGCGTGGGAGTGCGACTCACGCGGGCATGGTCGGGAGAATCCGAGATAAGACGGCGTAGCTACCACGAGCGTCGAGAGCTCCGTTTTAATCGCTGTGCAGCTCGAGCAGAGACTGGGATTGACGTTGGACGGGGTTCGCAGTGGGTAGTTTGTCGTTGGCTGCCAATGGTGTCGGTGCTGTCTACCGCGTGCAAACGGCAGGGCATCAAGCGTGAAGAGCTCGTATTATACTTGTAGTTACCCTCTTCTACTGGGTTGCAACGGCGCCCCCCATTCGCTTCCAGAGCATGCCATAAAACGTACACGAGGAGAAGCATTTTGAAAAACCATGTGTAGCCAGAGGCTGGCGGCCTTCCAGAGCGTGTCCGTGCCATCTACAACGACAGGATATCACCTCTTTTGAACGAGAGAAACTTGAGATGCCAAGACCAAGCGAGCAAACCGTCTGCAGACGTCGACAGATAGCTCCATCGACAAGAGCTATAATCAATGTTTATGTAGAGATACTAGTGAAGAAATACGTACCGATGGCCATGGCAACGAGGGCAAGTTCGGGTCGTTACGATGCATCAGGTGCAGCTGTGCGAGCGTGAGCGCCAGCGTTGTCGTCTCGTCGCGAAGCAGCTTCCAAGCCAACGTCGTGTCTCTCGCGGGGCAGCACGGACGGCCACGGCTTCGCCCAGAACATCCAGCGCCAGTACTTGGCGGCGGGCGGAACGATGTCGAGGTACACCAGCCCTTGAAGCGCGTCCATTCGCTCCCAAGGCATTTTTGCGCATAGCGTACACAGAAGACGCGTGATCCAAGCGCATGAGAAGGCGCGGGGGGCCTTGTGCATCTCGAGCAAAAGACGACCCAGCGCGGCAAGCGACGATGGTGCAACTGCGCACGAGTGTGCTTGGTGGGCGTCAACGTCAAAGCGCCTCGGCAATCGCCTTGAAAGGCCGTC